AGACTCTGCACTGTCTTGACTGCTCTTCTGTGCAGAGAGCGTCCCCCTCTCTGTGTACTCCAGAGAGGAGTACACAGAGATGCAGGGATGGGCACCAAAGCCATGGGGCTGTCCAGCAGCTGCTCCTTCCCCAGCAAACCTTCATTCTGAGGCAGGTTTTTCTGAACACATCCATTTCCCCAGGTGACCAAGAGTAACTAATACCATCTGTCCCTGCTGAGCCACACCTGCCCACTGGGTCTCCCACTCACAAGAAAACTGGCCCTTTAATATTTTAAAATATTTTTTTCCTTTTTAAAAATTTAAATTAGAAACAAGCTTCTTTCACATGTCAATCTCAGTTCCCTCTCCCTCCCATCCTCCCCTGTCCCCCACCACCGACCCCCTATCCCAAGCCCTTTCTGCTCCCCAGCGGGGTGAGGCCTTCCATGGGGCATCTTCAAAGTCCGTCCTATCATTTGGAACAGGGCCTAGACCCTCCCCAGTGTGGCTGAGAGAGTATCCCTATATGTGGAGAGGGCTCTCCAAGTCCATTTGTGTACTAGGGGTAAATACTGATCCACTACCAGAGGCTCCATAGATTCACCAGACCTCCAAACTGACCTCCTCATTCAGGGGGTCTGGATCAGACCTATGTTTGTTTTCCAGCTATCAGTCTGGGGTCCATGAGCAAGCCTTTGTTCAGATCAGCTATTTCTGTGGGTTTCTCCAGCCTGGTCTTGACCCATTGCTCATCACTCCTCCCTCTCTGCCACTGAATTCCAGAGTTCAGCTCAGTGCTTAGCTGTGGGTGTCTGCCTCTACTTCCATCAACTACAGGATGAAGGCTTTATGATAGCAATTAAGTTAGTCATCAATCTGATTATATGAAGGGCAGTTAAGATACCCTCTCCTCTACTGCCTAGATTATTAGCTGGAGCCATCCAAGTGGATTCCTGGGAATTTCCTCAATGCCAGGGAACACAAGCACTCTTACAGGCCTGGTGTGGGAAAGACTTTTGCATTCATGCACAGGGCTCAGCAACCCAGCACTGCTTGACGCTCACACTAGGGTCATGCCAAGGCTATGAGGAAGGACACACAGGTGCCCAACCTACTAGAGAGGCAAGTCCTTAGACAACACAGTGCAGCATGGAAAATGCTCACCCTGGGAACATGCAGGAAAGAGAAATCACAATTTGAGGCAGGTCAGTGTGAGCCTTCCAGTGAGATGGACCTGGGTGTGAGCATCCCCTCAAAATGCCTGCTAGTGCTGAGGAGGCTGGCTGCACACCAGCATGCTAAAGCAACTGAACTGCCAGTGTGTGACTCAGACCACCAACAGAGTTCTACCCTGCCCCTGGCCAGAACAGACAGGGCTGGGGTCTGGTGCTTCATCCAGGATTGGCACTGAAGCCACTAGGCAGCTGCCATGGTCCACACTCCAGCCTGTTACACTTCCACCTAACACCTCCTGCCCCTGTCCCTCCAGGGATCCCAGTGACCTTGCCAAGAACTTCACCATAAGAGCAGATGAGATACAGATCCATGTCTGAGGTAAGAAAGTTCATACATGACCATCTGAACTCAGATCAAAAAGGAGAATTGAGACAGGCTTCCGGCCTCTGCCCTGGGTGAGGCTTTGTCCTTTAGTCTCTGACCCAGCGACCCCAGCCTCTCTACACAGCTAAGCTGGCCCAGGGAGGAGATGCTGGAGCTGCACCAGGCCCTGCTTAGAAGAGCAGGACGCCTGGGAGGCACAGCCCTGGTACCCGACACCCAGAAGCTCAAGGAGCAGATGAGATGCAGTGACATGGACCTTGTTCTCTGAACCTCTGACCCCATGCACTGTCCCATTCCCCACTTAAACAGCCACTTTAGAATGGAAGGGACACCAGGAAGAGAATGCCACTGGGGAGCCACAGGCTCTTGGGTCTGGGCCATCCTCACTGTGACCCTGCCCACAACAAGGCTCCCAGTCAAGCCCTCAATATAACACACGGAGCACTTACAAACACCACAGACACAGTTGCTTCAATTCTGAGTTTTGTTAAAAAAACAAACAAACAAACAAACTATGATAAATCAGGAACAGGTTTGGGAGTGGTGGTGATGCAGAAGGAAGCATGGACAGGACAAGAATGTGAGGGCTGGCAGGGGCCAGGGGCAGGGCCGTCTCCACCCTGATCCCTGGTATCTTCTTCTAATGAGACAGAGGGCCACAGTCCAGAGCGGGTCATTCCTCTCCTCTACCGTGTCTGTTCAACTGAAGAAAAAACGCCACAATAAGACAAAAGAGGAGAAATTTAAATTTCTCTCCCTCCCTCCCTTTCTCTCCCCACAGCTGTGTCCTAGGTTCAGAGGATACTCTTGGGAGTAGGAACACTCCCTGTTGCTGGAGAAAAGAGACGGATAAAGACCCCACACAAGCGTCCCTCACCAGAGCATGGAAACTCCAGGAGGGCCACCAGAGGCCTCTACCCAGATGTTTACATGAGGCACTAACAAGGAAAGAGGGAGCAGGATTCAACAAAATGCTTCAGAGGGCAAAGGTGCTGTCACTAAAACTGACAACCTGAGTTCACGCCGGGAAACCCACAGGGTGGAGGACAGACACCCAATAGTGTCCTCTGATCTCTACATGCTGTGGTATGTACACACACGCACGTACGCAGCAGGCAGCACACACACACACACACACACACACACGCGC